CTTATACAGAAATATAAATTCAATTATTATCTACAATATAAACAGTAGGTTTGCAAATGAGTCTACAATTTTTAATGGTAGACAAAGAGAGAATGACAGTGGAGGTATAGGATGAGATGATAAGGAGGTAGGAGGATATAGAATTATTGGATCTTAGGAAGCATGAAAGAGGAATCCAAAGAAGCTGGCTAGTAGCAGGAGAAAAGAGAGGAAAAGATTTTGGGGAGACAAGTAAGTGTAAAGACAATAGAGAGAGTTCAAGAAACAAACAAACAATAAAAATTAAGAAAAAGAAAATATGTAAATATAGAAGATAAAAGAATATACAACACAACTGTAATATGCAGTTCAGACATCCCAGTCCTCAGTAGACTAATGCATGTAAAGTACTTGATTTTACAAACGTTGGGGATGTGAGGGCGAGAAAAGAGAGAGAAAGAAAAAGAAATCTTAAAGGAAAATTAAACGATTGTTTCTATTGGAGTTCAGCATATTTCCTGCTTCCCTTCTCATCCAGTAGGCAAAGTTATCTGTTGTTCTGCTGGTATCTCCACCCTCAGGCTGGTGAAGGTTATTTGAGTGGGAGGTTTGGTATTGGGGGTGGAGGTGGGGTATAGCACTTGCCAGTCCCTGATGAGAGACTGCACCCCAAGGATCTCCTTTGGGACCTGATCATGTGATGGGGGCACCTGGTCTCCTTATATCACCTATAGACCTCACAATTCCTGGTCTCTAATATAGTCTCACTATATTTCACTCAACTCCTCCCTTTCTACTTCCCAATCCAGATTTCATGTGGGCTGCATCCTCTGAAGCCTATACACCTGCCGAGGAAAACTGTTTTGTATCAGGCAGGTGAGGAACAGTCTTTTCAAGCTACAGACGGGCCATGTAGATGCAAGCACTGTGCCTAGTTAGTGGCTATGGGGACTGGGGGAGTTGAGGAACTATAGGTTCCTTGATATTGCTTCTAGGCCCCAGCTGGTATCCCAAGCTGGGAGTTACCCCAACTATAGATGGCAATGGTGGTAGCAAGGCTAATGGTGGCATCAAAGGTGTCCCAAGATAGAGGTGGCTGCTTTCAGAGATGGAGCATTGGGGTAGGCTGGATGGTGGCATTGGGTGGCATGTTCAGAGATGCAGCTCTGTCGTGTGAAGTGTTGTAGCTAGCAGCTGTCTCCAGACCCTGTCCAGTGTCCCCAGGTGCAGGCTACCACATGAAGGTAGCAGTTGCAGTGTCCCTAGATGGAGGCAACTGGGACCCCCTCATTGGTAGATGGGGGTACACATGGGAGTGGCAGCTGGGGATCCTGCACAGAAGCCATGGCCAGGGGTCCTGAATGGGCAAACCGCCAAGGGTCCTGCACAGATGCTGAGACCAGGAGACCTTCGCAGGCATGGTGGCCAGGATTCCTGCACAGGGGGTCCTCTAATAACTTGCAGAGAAACTGTATTACCTGTGCTTGCATCCCAGGTCATGGAGTGACAAGGAATGCAGCCTCCCTCTAGCCCACCATCTTGGATCTCCTGTAAAATTACTTTCTGGTCTAGGATGTGATTGACTACTTATTGTGAGTTCATATATACTTTAAAAAGATTACCTGTTCTGAAATTGTAGGCCCCTAACTTAGTATATCAAATTAGTGACTGAATGAATGAGTCTTTGCCTTTCTCATGCCTGAATCACTGCCTGATACCTTTTCCAATACCTTGAATTATTGGAGACCAAGATCCTGTCTTTTTAAAGCAACTCCTTCCAATCTGGCCCTATGATCAGAGTCCTACTCCTGATCTCAGCACAGGGGAGGGGTGTATGGGATTCCTTCAGACTATGCCAGGAAATGGTGGTTTCACCTGTGTCTAGTTACTCCTCATGGAGCACCAACTGTTTGCCTGGACAACCCATTACCTTGTACTTAGAGGACCTCTCTTTCAGGACTAGATCTTAATTCCCTTTATAGATCAACCTGCTGGACTAGGGTGAAAAATATCCCTACATTTGACATTTCCATGCTACTTTAGTCCATAGAAAGTCTAGACCCAGGACAAAGTCTTCCCCACTGTGTCCTACCCATCGTTTTTCTCTTTTCTTTTCTAGTTTGAGATTGATGCTTATGATCTGTCAATAAATGTACAGTTTCATAGTCTACAGTTCCCATTCCTGACACAGCCATGTCTGTATCAGGGAGACTCTAAGGAGAATAGTGCAGTTTTCTATCAACTTATGCTAAGCCTCACTATGACACTTGCACCTTGAATTGCTGTCCTGATCTTCTTTCAAATCCATCCATCCATCCCTCCTGCTGTCTCATGAGCTTGATCTGGCAGAAATCTCCATGGCCCTCATGCTCATGTTGGCTCTCAGTCTCCTCCAGTTTGGGTCAGGTAAGCCATCCATATGGGACTGCTTTCTACCCACATACTGTTGAACAATTTGATTTCTTCAACTACAATGATTATTGGCACAATGGGACAAAGGCATCTTTGTTATTTGTATTCTCTCTGCTTCTCCTTACCTCCTAGCTGCATCTACCAATTCCAGGGGCTCTGAGAGGATGGGCAGTGTGAAGGACTCAGGCACTCTGGAAATAATTATGGTAGCCCAAAAATAATAAGAGTGGACAGCTGAAGAGAGACTATGACAACGGGAATGAAACACACTAAATATGTTAAGATGAATAAATTTAATGTTGTCTCAGCTGAACTGTGGGGGTTTAGTACAGGCAGGTCTCTAGTAGAGCACCCACATGTCTGACTTGGTTGACTTTTTAGGATGTTAGAGAGAAAACAATGTGTCCAGCTGTAAACATGCTGAGTTGGGAATGCTTGTGATTATAGAAATAAAGGAGGGAATGTGTCCAGACCTTTAATTGAGGAATCAGTTGGAACCTGGCATATTCTGGGTGCTGTCCTCCACCTTGAATAAACTTATTCCAAATGGCAAGAGAAGATCTCAACAGAGAGGCGTAAGTCAAGTTCTGGAGTGGAGTTGTCAATGGGCAGGGAAAGTTTCCATTCTACTGAGGGGAAATTCAGAGTTGGACAGGGAGGAGCAGGACCTCAGGATCTGCTACTTCATGTCAGCAGATGGTAAGAGATCATCCTGAATAGGCTCATTTTATTTAATAAGACTCTTCTTGAAGATGCATGATAAAATACATTTTATAATTATTTATAAAATATTTAAAACAAGAAATAATTAAACTAAAAATTTAAAATTTCACTTATTTGGGTATTTACATGTAGGACTCACTTGTCTTTTGTTGATTATGCACCAATAACATGTAGATGTATGCATATCATAATAAACATATGTGGATTAATCAAGAGGCATTCACAAAGTAGTTACATAGAGAGAGGTTTAATGGAGTGGTCATCCACAGTTTAGGAACTCTTCTAAGAATAAATTTATTCAATATAGCACGGCAAGCATGTTCTGCAACAGGAACTTGCTTAGGAAATAAAACAGCATTCACCATTCATCCTTATAACCCTTGTTTTTGTTGGGCATGGTGCTAGACTCAAGGGATGCTGTGATGAGCAAAACACACAGGTCCTGTCCCATGGAGCTGAGAATTATGGGGCGGAGACTCACAAAAACACAAATACTCACCATCCTTCAGACAAGATGATCAAATTAAAAATGAAGATGAAGTTGTATGAGAAAAAATATCTACAAAATTAAGGTATGTATATTAGCTCAGGCTACCATTGCAAATACCACAGACTGGGTGGCTTAAACAAGAGTAATTTACTTTCTTAATGCTTTGGAGGGGATGGAGATGAGAATTTCAAGATCAAGGTGTCAGAAAATTTGATTTTTTTTGGGGGGGGGACTGATAGTCACTGTGTCCTCACATGGCTGTTCCTCCATACACTTGCAGAGAGAGAGGGGGTAAGGTGCTCCAATATCTTTCCCTCTATTATAAGGACAGCAATCTCATTGGAAAAGAGCCCTGCCCTCATGATCTAGTCTAATCCTAATCACTTATCAAAGGTCCCATCTTTAGATACCACCACATTGGATATTAACCACAACAGATTATTTGGGTAGGGGAACATAATTCTGTTAATTACAGAAATACATGTTAATAAAACATTAGAAGTGCTGTTTAAAGCCAAAATTATAAGGTGGAAAAATTATCAAACAAGTGTAAAAGATGCACTCCATGGAAAGAATACGTCAAAACATAAGTGCACCAGAGAACCAACCTCTAAGATAAAAATGGCAAATTCTCCCTGGCACAATGTCGAACATGTATTCCAGAATTTTGCAGAATAAATACACAGATAATAAGGAAATACAAATAAAACTTTTATAGGTAAAGAATATATATTCCTCTAATTGTATTGATAAAACATTTACAAAATGAGGAAGCAAATTACTGCAAGATGGAGATTTAATCACCTCATACTACTCTTCTAAGTCATTGAAAAAAAGGGTGTTCTTTGCATTTTTGCCAAGGAAATAGAAAAAAAAAGAACTGTTTTGAGTTTTTACTGAGCAGATTAGTAGAGGAAAGATAATGTGTGTATATACTCTCCTCTGATGAAAAGTTCCGCTTTTGGAGAGGGTGCCCTCATGCTCTAGATAACTTACTTAGTGACATGAGTTTTTCACCTTGAAAATGGCAATGTCAATAAAATACACTTCTCAGGTCTTTTGGAACCAAATGAAGTAACTGATATGAATATATTATGTCAATTGTAGGAATATGCAGATATGATATCTCTGGGCTTAGAAAAGGGATCATGATGAATGTTCCATTCATGAATATCACTGCCCTAACATCACTACCCATCACTGTAGGTTTTGCTTACTTTTCTTTTGTGTTTACTCTCACAGGCCAGTGGCAAATTATTGGGCCAGACAAGCCTGTCCATGTGCTGGAGGGGGAGGATACAATCTTCACATGCTTCCTCTCTCCTGAAACAAATGCAGAAGCCATGGAAATGAGGTTCTTCAAGGATAAATTCTCTGGTTTGGTCTATCTCTACAGGGATGGAAAAGATCAGAAATATATGCAGTTGGCAGCCTGTCAAGGGAGAACTGTTTTGGTGAAGGATTTCATTGTACATGGACATGTCTCCTGGAACTAGAAAAATTCAATTCCTCAGATGCTGGCTTGTATGGATGATGGTTCTGCTCCCAGACTTATGAGCAGAAGGCCACTTGAAAGCTACAGGTGTCAGGTCAGTTGCTTAATTCTGAAAATTCAAGACTTCATTCAAATAAAAATTTCCTGAACTTTAAAATTTGTTAAATCAAAAGATTTAAAATCCAGGATTATTTATTTACAAAACAATATGCTAACTATTATTTTTTCATTTGTGTGCATTGTTCTTTTTTATCCTATATTCTAGCCTATGAAACTACCACATTAACTATCTTATTACCACAAAGTCCTCCCTCAGTTACCCTTTCAGTTACATTCATCCTCCTTCATCCCTAAAATCCACCAACACTTGGCAATCTATTTTCCATTTCCATAATTGTGTTATTTCAAGAGTGGTATATAAGTAGAATTATACAATATATTACCTTTTAGGATCATCTTTTCCCACTCAACATCATGCTCTTGAAATTCAAGTTGTTGCTTCTGTTAACGTTTTCTTCCTTTTATTGCTGAATAGTATTATCAGGTATGGATGTACCATAACTTGTTTAACCACTCATCCATTGAAGGAATGGGTTGTTTCTATTTTTGGTTTATG